CCCCAGGAAGTTCATGCTCCTCCCTAATTGACACATTTCCAATCCTTCCCCTCTTCTTCTCCCCTTTAAACATGTACAGCAGCTCAAGACAGTTCTTGTTGTTGAGTAACTGCTATGTCCAGGCCAAGTATACCTCCAGGTGGGAAAACTCGAGTGCAGAAAGTCTACTTGTGAACACTGATAAGAGTACAAAGGTAGACAAGCATAGTATAATTTATTATGCTGAGCGTTATATTTAATTCAGCTGAGGGCCATCACACAAGGTTCGCACTCTAAATTCCTAACTACATCCCTAAACCTATCTCCCCAAGACTGCTCACCTATATGGTGTATCTTAGCTGAAGATGGTCTATCAGGGTAGTCTCTGGTTCAAGAGTGGGAACCAACTGAGCATTGATGGCGCACACCTTTAGTCCTAGCACTCAGGAGGCAGAGGCAGGAGGATCTCTGTGAGTTCAAGGCCAGTCTTGTCTACAGAGCTAGTTCTAGGACAGGCTTCAAAGCAATACAGAGAAACCCTGTCTCTCTTGTCTTGAAAAACAAACAAACAAACAAAAACAAAAAAGAGTGGGATCCCAAGGGAAACACTCCAGATGCAGGGCAGATTGAGATGGCATATCTCCAGATGTGCAGAACAGAGCACTGCTCTTGGTCTCTGCTTATAGACTGTCCAGTGGGCATCATGGATTCTAGGACTCTATCTGGTTATCTTGAGTGAGTGATGTCACTAGGTTATGGCTAACAGTGAGCCTTGAGTGTAGTAAGATTCCTAACTAAGGTATTTTTACATGTCTAAAATACTTTTTTTTTATGCTCCTTACAGCTTCTCTACTGGACAGTGCATAGTCTTAAATGCTGTGGGTCTATGTCCCGAATGACACATTGTGCTGGGTTCTTATTGTTGCTTGCTTGTATTTTTTGTTTCTTTTTGAGACAGAGTCTCACTAAACACCCCTTGATCACTTTTTGCATCATGTTTCCTTTGAACTTGAAATTTTCCTATCTCATCCTCCCAAGTAGCTAAGTTTATAGGTGTGTGCCACTATGCCTGACTATTGTGCTGGTTTTTTTTTAATGACACACACCATATGGCTTCTATTAAAAACAAAATTAGTGTAGTAGGGCACACCTGTAATTCCAGCTCTAGGCAGCAGAGACAGGAGGACTGAGGAGTAGAAGTCAGCCTAGACTTACAGTGAGACATTGTTTTAAAAGCTCCAAACAAATCAAAGCAGCTAAGGGTGTGGCTTATTGGTATATTAGTTACTTCTCTTGTTGCTGCTACACAATACCCTACTTAGGGGAGGAAGGACTTACTGTGGGAAAGTCACAGTAGCAGCAGGTCACATGGCATCCACAGTTAGGACTTAGGGAGCTGTGAAGGTCGGTATTCCCTTGCTCTCTCCTTTATTTCACCCAGGACCACAGCTCATGAAGTGAGCTGCTCACATTGAAGGGGGGCTTCTCCCCTCAATTAATGCAATCTAGAAACTTCCTCATAAACATGCCTGGAACTTTCTTTACCAGGTTTCCTCTGATTTCTAGATACTGTCAGTATTAACAGTCACAACAGCACTAGTGCTGGGTTCCATTCCTAGTGTAGTAACAGCAAATAAATAAATCTAACTTTCCTTGAAAAAAACTTGGTATCACATGCAAAAGAACGAAGTTAGATTCTGACCTTTGTATATGTCTGTGCATCTATATATGTAACTTTAATTAAAGAAAAAGAGGCCATGAATTTGAGAAGGAGTTGGGGATATGGAAAGGGTTGGGGGTATGATGTAATTATATTTTAAGTTAAAATATGTTATATTTTAAAAATTATATATCACATTTTAAAATTATATTTTTAGCTTAAAATTGCAAAGGTAAAAATAACTTGGATGAGAAAAAATACAAAAATTGATATTTTTTTTCTGATTTTTTTAAGATAGGGTTTCTCTGTATTGCTTTGGAGCCTGTCCTGGAACCCACTCTGTAGACTAGGCTGGTCTCAAACCCTTATACATTGTCTATGAGCCTATAAAATGGTAGATACTACAGAAATAGTATGATCATAAACAAACAAATAAACACACTAAAAATAGGGGCTGGAGAGATGGCCCAACAACTAAGAGCACTGGCTACTCTTCTAGAGGACCAGGGTTAGATTTTCATAGCCCCGCAGTTGGGTCATACCCATCTGAAATTTCAATTCCAGGGAATCAAATGCCATCTTCCGTCCTCTGAGGGCATTGCATGCATGTGGCGCACAGACATACATGCAGATAAACTACCTATACACATAAAACTAAAAAATGTTCTCAAAAAAATTAAACCATAAAAAGAAAATTACCATATGCTCCATCAACTCCATTTCTGGGTGTCCTTAAGAACTGAAAGCAGGGACAGGTTTTATACACCTATATTCAAGACTGTATTATTCTCATCTCCTAAGACGGGCAACTCATGTACCAATCTAGAGATGAAAGGATAAAGAAAATGGAGCATGCACACAAAATAAAATATTATTCGGATCTTAAAATGATGAATTCTGACCAATGTTTTAGTATAGTGCATCTTGAGGACTTAAGGGGTAGTGTAAGCTATCTAGAATAGTCAAATTCACAGAAAAAGAACAGCCAGGTAACTGTCAGGAGATTAGAGGAGAGGGGAATGGCTGGTCGATGTTTTGTAGGTGTGTGGGCTTGTTTTGTGTCTGCTTGACACAAGTCAGAGTCACTTAGGAAGAGAGATGCTCAGCTGAGAAAAGGCCCTCATCAGATTGGCTTGTGGTCAAGGCAGAACTTAATTTCCTGGATTGATATGAAAGGGCCCAGCTCACCTGTGTGTGATACCCTCCCTGCCCCCCATAGGCGTGATGAGCAAGCCAGTAAAGTGTTCTTTTGTGGGCTCTACTTCAGTAATTACCCTGTTTGAGTTATAGACAAACCATACATATACTTAAAATAAATGAATAATTTTCAAAAACTAAAACTGTTATGAGTGAGCAGTAGAAGTCTCTGTGGCTTAGACTAGGAGTTTTAGGTATGGCACTGTCTTGACCAGGTTTCTATTGTTATGATAAAGATCATGATCAAAAGTAACTTAGAAGCAGAGGGCCACTTGGAGACAGGAGCTGACCCAGAAACCATGGAGGAGTGCTGCTTTTCCTCCTGGCTTGTTTCTCCTGCCTGGATCAGAATGCAAATTATGTAAAACCTGTTCAGAAAGTGAAGCTGGGTGTGGTGGCTCACACCTGTGATGCCAGCCAGCCCTCAAGAGGCAGAGGTTGGACTGCAAATATTCAAGGCCATCTTTGACCTCTGCAAAGTGAGCTCTAGGTCAGTCTGGGTTACCTAAGATCCAGTCTCAAAAACGAAACAAAACAAAAAGATACAACACATTTCAGAGATGAAAAACTCCAAATTCCACCAATTATCACCTTCAGGTGAATATTAAATCCATATATGGTACACACACACACACACACACACAGAGAGAGAGAGAGAGAGAACACTCACATTTGCACACAAACAAATGGTTTTATTAGAGTAGGGTTGAATATAGATGTTGCTTTTGTTTTCTGGACAGGGTCTCATTATGTAGTCATAGTTGGCATTGAACTTGTGCCCTTCCTAGCTCAGCCTACTGACTATTGTTATTTTAGGTGTGTCTTACAGTGCTCAGCCTAGATGTCTTTTTAAATGAAAAGTATATCATTTAAATTTTTCCTTTCACTTGACAGAATTTAAAAAAAAAAAAAAAGCACAGCAAAGTAAATTTTCAAAATTTTCAGTATGGTAACAGTTGTCCATAGAGAAGAAAGAAAGTGGGGGAGGGGGATGGACAATGAGAGCTAATGAAAAATAAAGCTAGTACAGTTCAGGTTCAGATACCATCCATTGTTTTTCTCTCCTTGGGAGGTAAGGAAATTATTAGCTTTGTTTGCTTGCTTGCTTCCTTTCTTTCTCTTTTGAAACCAAGTCTCATGTAACTTGGACTGCCCTTGAACTCACTGAGGATAATCTTGAACTTGTGAACTTCTTGATTCTACTTCTGGAGTGTTGGGACTAAGTGTGCCCCACCACATCCTTGATTATGATGGTGGGGCTTGAACCAGGGACCTCTTTTGTTCCAGGCAAACACTCTACACACTGAGCTACCTTCCCAGATGGAATCACTGGGTTTCAGACTCTCCAAAACTTGGCCTCTGTAGATTTTGTTTATTATGTTTTTTCACTTTCCATGCCAATTAGAGTCTGCCTGCCATTGGCTTCTGCATTCCTGAATTGTTTGTGAAGCTCTCTTGAGTGTGGTTTTCTAGATCTCACTGCAAGCAGTTCATTCTGCCCTAAGAAAAAAACTGATAAATTTTCTAGAACATTCTAAATTTAATTGCAATAATCAGAAAATGTAAGTGTGTGTGTGTGGGGTTGGGATATGGGAAATTACCAGTTAACAGATAGGGGTTGTGTTAGCTTCCTGGGGCTGGCAAGATACCTAAAAAAGTCAAATCATAGAAGGGAAGGTTTCCTTGGCTTCAGGGGTTTCTGTCCTTGAAGGAGCGTGTTTACCTCCTTGGTGGCAAGGATACAGAGAGAAACAGGGAGGGACTGCAATCCCCATCTCCCCTCCAAATCCCCAATGGTACCCACCTTCCTTCCAGTATGCCCTACCTTCTAAAAATTCTTCCATTTTCTTATAGCGCCAAGCTAGGGACCAAACCTCCCACATGTGAGATCTGGGGAACATGTGAGATCCAGCCAAAGACCACCCAACCTTCCTGAACATGTGTTGACACTTGACTTAGAACATCAGAGGCAACTTCTGAGTATGAGAGAACTTTATGGACTATTAACCCAAACCAACCCAGACAGGAATACTTATGGCTGTGTTCCTATCTTTAAACATTTCCCACCCTGCTATAAGTGACCTACCTGGGTTCAATGTAAGTTGTCCAAGATTTTGTTAAAAAATGCTTGAGCCTTGTGGACTTATTTCCTACTTTATTGTTGTAGTTTTGAGACAGGCTGGCCTCAAACTTGAACCAACTCTCTGGCCTCAGCATTGCAAGTACTGGGTTACAGGTGTAATACTACACAAAGCGTTTACTTTCCATTTCTTTGTAGAATTCTTGTCGGTGGTTGTGGAAGTCATTGGAAAGCAGAAAGACCTAATCCTGCAAGATAAAAGAGATTCATTTCTTCCTTCTTTCCTCCTTTTGGTTCTACCCTTCCTCCATCCTTCCTCCTTCCTTCTTTCCTTCTTCCTTTCTCCCTCCATCCCGTCTTCCCTCACCTCTGTCCTTCCTTTTTTCCTTCCTTCCTTTCTCCTCTCCCTTTATTTTTCCTTTCTTCTCTTTGACATCATGTTAGCCCCAAATATCCCATGGTCTCTTTAGATGACCCTGCCCTGTGCAAAAGTTTCAGATCTCCCCATTCAATTTCAGGAGCAAACCTGCCCACTCTCCAGAACACCCAGACAAGTAAGTTCTATAGCTGGGGTGACACAGCAAGTCTGCAGTCAGCAGGAAGGGCACCTTGTGTACAGGCCACCTTTTGTTTATACAGTTGGCGTGCATCTCCCCTTAGTGCAACAGTTCTCAACCTGTGGGTTGTGACCCCTTTGAAGGCCAAAGGACTCTTTCACAGGGGTCACCTAAGACCACCGGAAAGCACAGATATTTACATTATGATTCATAACAGTAGCAAAATTAGAGGTATGGAGTAGTAATGAAATAATTCTTTGGTTGGGGGTCACCACACATGAGGAACTGTGTTAACAGGTCACTGCCTTAGGAAGGCTGAGAACCACTGCCTTAGCAGATCAAACCTATTTTGGATGGTTTTGTTTTGCATATTCATGGTTTGTCTCTGGACTGGTCCACGAGTGGTAGCAATGGAGAACTGAGAGCTGCTAGCTCCCGTTGCTGAAGGCCAGAGAGGATAGTTGCTAACTCTAAGAGGGTTGCTCTTTCTCTGCTGTTGAATATCTCTTCCAGGAGAATGGAGGACCCCTTACCTGTTGGTAACAGTCCCACGACCACATTCCTTTCTGGTTAGTATCTGTAATGACTTACTTAGTAAGTCCTTTGTTTTGGAAACCCCTCACTAAGATTTGTGGGTTAACACCATGGTTTTCAACTTCCTAAGATTTTTCCAACTTCAAGAGCATCTTCCTGTTGATTTTGTGCAAGAACAGCATCTTGTCCACCTATAAGATTGATCACAATTTTAGTTTAGTCATATTCTATATGACATGGTGTCATATAGCCTCCTTAAAAAAAAAAATCTTTCCTGCATGTTTATAAAGAATTGTTTTCGAGTCCTTTCCACTCAAAAACTTGTTTGAGGGATTTGTTTTGGAGGAATATTTTTTAAAATCCATCTGGTACTCCATGTTGTATTTAATTCTACAGATTTAGGGTTTATGTTTCAGATTTAGATTTGTAAGTAAGATATTTTTGTTATATAGGGACTCACGGAGGTCACATGGGAATGAGATAGACACAGTCATCTCCAGACACAGAATTGTTCCTTAATCAGAACAGTGCAAAGCTGGGGGCTCTCCCTGAAGCATGCACATGCACAGTGGGGGTGGTGGGATTTTATAGGGTGGAGAAAGGGGAACTTTGGGGATGGAAAATTCCATCTGTCAGTCCCCTAGCAATCTGGAAACACCAGCAGGGGTGGTATGTGGATCTTCTTATCAATGGCTTCCACAGGTGTTATCAGTCAAGTCAACTACCCTGCCCTTAGCTTTTCAGTCCACCTGGGGCTTTTAGGTCATTAACCCTTCATTCCAGACGCCAAGGACAGATAAAGAGAAGGGGACAAAGTATTCTTTTGTTGGTTACTTCCTGGGGGAGGGGGTTGGTGGGTAGGGGGCTTTTAGACTTTGTCCCCAGGATCTGAGGGATCAGAGGTTGGAGGAGAGTTTTGACTTCATCATCTGCAGTGGATCCTCTAATTGTTGTCATGTGCTCGCAGACTCTAGTACCTGAAGGGACTTTAGAAAAGTAATTGTTAGAGATGATTTGGATACAGAGTGAGAGGGAGAGATTGCCCCAGGAGGGAAATGGCTCAATTGTCATATAAAGCTTGAGAGGACTATGGATCCACAGTGACTAGTTACCAGAAGCGACAGGGGCTGCAGTGCCTTGAAGGAAGGGAGCAGGTGAAAACAGAGGGCTAAAGTAAGGAATTGTATCTGGTCTGAGGTGAACAGGCTGAAAATTCCTTGCAGTTAGAGCCTCTTCTGCAGCATCCAAAAGGTCTTCTTGAGGATGTATCAGGAACTAATGGGGCTGCTGTAGGGAGAGAGCCACTAGCAGAGCTTACATGGACCATTTAAGGGAGATGGGTCCAACAAGTAAAATATTTAAAGGCAAGGTAAAAAGTAAAAAATGAGTGACCAAAGAGAGAAATGGGAGGGAACATGGGTGGCTAGGGTGTGAAAAAAATGCATTATATTTGTAGGATGTGACCTTCCAGAAAGACAGTGCTCTATAGTTGTTAAGTATAGCTTTAATATCTGGCCTAAGTATTTAAGAAAATATTAAATATTAAGAAGTACTTAAGGGCTGGAGAGACGGCTTGGTGGTATCGACCGAACCTGGAAGATTCCTCATTCTGAGGGTCTTACAGTTAAGAGCACTGAATGCTCTTCCAGGGGACCCAGGTTCAATTCTCAGCACCCACATGGCAGCTCACAACTGTCTGTAACACCAATCCGTGGCAAAACACCAATGCATATTTAAAAAAGTAAATAATTTTTAAAAAGTACTTAAGCATGTTTTTCTCAGATGTGGTGGATAGACACCGTAGTGGTGAAGCAGACAAGGAAAGTCATATCCTTTATTTGCTCGTTTATTTGTTCTTAAATGGGCTATATGGTCAAAATATCTTTAAAATTTTTTAAATGTTTCAAAATTTTTTTTAAATGTTTCTATATATTTACACATTAAGCACACTTAAAGGCACAGACATAAATTGGTCTATTTAAAGAGAGGGCGATTGTCCAATAAAAATATGTCCTGGAACATTTCTCAATGTATGCCCTCAAGCAATAGGGAACATGTTGTAGAACCAGAAATGTATGATTCTGTATGTCTTGTCCTTTGAAGCAGATTTAAATTTTTTAAATTAAAAAGCTTCAGGACCACCAGCCATCATCATCATTTTCATTCAATAGCCAACTTTATTTAGAGCCTCAGAAAATTTATGCCCTGAGGGTTAAGAAAGACAAGTACAGTTCTCATGAGTTCACACCGTGTACAGTAACAAAAAAAATTCGGAAAGCTTTACACATTTTCGTGTCATCCTTGCACAGGAGCCGTGCTAATCTTCTCTGTGTTGTTCCAGTTTTAGTATATATACTGCCAATGTGAGTGCTATCATTATTACTTTTTTAAATTTTACCTTTACTATGAAAAAAATGAAGTTGGGCCAAGTTAAGTTTACTTACAAATCAATTTGACACTAAGTATATGATGTAAAACAAACCATAATCACAAATAACAAATGGAGTCTATATGTACACAGTTACACATGAGATATATTTTAATAAGCCAAGATTTTGAACATTATTGCACCTTGGGATTATATTTTTTATAATTTTCATTGTGAAAGGGAAAGTTAGAAGGAAACACTATTAGGTTGGGCAGAAACAAAAACAGACACATTTTTGGATATTGATAGGGAAAGAATATTTTATCTCAGTCAGAGGGAAAGGGGCCTGGTGATCCTAGGCAGAAGTGGCAGGCTTGGGGACCTGGCACAGCGCCCTGAGGCAGCTCCTCGCTGGTGGTAGCTTATCTATCAGCTGGCCATTTATGCTTTGAGTCTGTTGGGATCTGTGGCTCTCAAAGGGTCAGATCCCTGTGTTAGTATGCCAGTGTTGAAGGCTTGTGGCCAGGAAAACTTAGGTTCTCCTTAGAAATTAGAAACTGAGTCATATAAAAACTATGTCAACATTAAAAAGAAAAAAGGAACAAAACAAAAAATAAGCCCATATTGGAGGTCTGGTAATTTTTTCTTAGTCTAATATAAAAGGGATGTGGTGATCCCCAGAGCACCATGAAGTTTTATGGGTGCTGATGTTAGCTAAAATGGTGGTGAAGTCACGTGTCTTTTGCATTCTTTATGATATCATTAGCAAAGATGGCTGCCTTTGTTTTGATGCTGTCCCCCAGTTTTCTGCTAAAGGTAAACTTAGCCCCATGTTAAAGTGAGCCAGTTTCCTATCAGGGCATTGAAAGTTTCTGTGGAATCCTTTATTTTGAAGATCAAATGCGGATTGTTACAGTCTTTTCTTCAAAAAGACTAGTTAGGTAGACTAGTGTGGGTTTGGAGGGACATAGTACCTATTGCCTGGGCAAGTAGGCTCAAAATAGAAAAAACTAAAGAAACAGGGCTAGGGTGTCTTGACCTCAGCTCAAGGAAGCAGAGGCCATACAAGAATCTGATACAGTAGGCAGAATCACAGTGCAGGGTTCTCTCAGAGCAGTAGAAGAATAACTTCCAAAGAATGTCCCCAGCCCAATTCCAAGTCAACACAGGAATTGCGCTGATGTGATCTCCTTTTCTCAGCCAGAGCCAGAAGGCCAGACTGACCCAGGCCACGTGGAAAAAAAGATGGGCATCTCCAGAAAAAGAATTAAAAAAAAAAAAAATCAGAACAGTTGACGCCAGTCTCTCCCTGGAAATGAGACTGCATATGTGGTATGGGGTCTTGGGATTTTATAGGATGGAAAATTCAGCCTGCAAAGTCAGTTCCCCTGCAGTCTGGAAGTGACAGACACTAGCAGGGTTGATATGTGGATCTCCTTATCAGGTGTTATCAGCAAAGTCAGTTTTCCAGTCCAGAGCTTCTCTGTCTACCTGAGGCTAGCCTGTACTACATAGTGAAATCCTATCCTAAAAAACAATATAAGAATACTATTACTTATTATCGTTATTATTATAGTTGGACATAGGGACACAGACTCAGATAAAGAGAGACTCACAGGGTTAGGGGTATAGCTCAGTGATATACTGCTTGCCTAGCTCGCAGAACCAAGAAGCACCCCAGTCTTAAATATCATCATTTACAGAGTTAACAAAAGGAACAAGAATATCATATGGATAGCCATAATACAGAAATGAATCATACATAGAAAAACTGAAGATAATCATAGTAATGCAGATGAATAAGACGAAACCAAGTGAGAATTGGAGAATCTAAAAGATTTAAACAACAGATATTTGCTCTAAGAACCCATTAAATAAAAGATGTTACATAAATATTGGAGGATTAGTGAGCTAAAAACCTCAGGCAGATTCTTAGGATCAAGGCAAAAACAACAATTAACAAAAACAAAACAAAACCCAGCCACATTCTTTGCTAAAATATTACAAGAATGGGGTTGTTGATAGTGTTCCCCTCTGAAACCTCCTGACCTGGGCCTCCATAGTCCACATTACTCTCAGCACATTGTCTATCATGCTCCTACTGGAATGGTCCATTAAGTCCTGCTTACAGAAAATCTAAAATTTTTCCACATTCCTCAGTGAAAAACAGAATGGTCACGTTTGTCCCGGCAATACACAACTCCTGGTACCAACTTTCATCTCAGTTACTTTTCTATTGCTGTGGCAAATCACCATGACAAAGGCAATTTATAAAATAAAATATTTAACTTGGGGCTCATGGTTGCAGATGGTTAGAGTCCATATCCATCATGGCAGCAGGTAGGTGGGCATGGCTCTGGAGCAGTAGCTGAGTCAAGCATGAGACAGAGAGAAATAGAGCTACTGGGAATGACATGGGCTTTTGAAACTTCAAACCCTCTCCCACAGTGACCACCTTCTCCAACAGGGCCGCACCGCCTAATCCTTCCCAAATAGTTCTACCAACTGGGGACCAAGCATTTAAAAACTTGAGCTTAAGGGGGCCATTCCTATTCAGACAACACTACAAGACCCATGTAAGAGGAACAGTCAAACCTTTTTCTTTTGTTGTTGTTGTTGTTTCAAGACAGGGTTTCTTTGTGTAGCCCTAGCAGTCCTGGAACTCGCTCTGTAGACCAGGTTGGCCTCAAACTCACAGAGATCCGCCTGCCTCTACCTCTGAGTACTGGGATTAATGGTATTCTTCACCTTTGTCCTACTAACATTACATTTCTAACAGTTCAGAGCTCTTGTTTCTCTCACTGTTATTAATATTTGATACATAATAAAGAGAATCTTGGCTGGGTGGTGGTGGTGCACGCCTTTAATCCCAGCACTTGGGAGACAAAGATAGGCACTGCTCTTCAGACTACACCACTCCTCAGACTGCATCTCTTTCCTGTCTCCTACCGCCTTCTATCCCTCTTTCCACCTAGCCATATCACTCCTGTCTCCACCTCCTTGGTGCGGGGGATTAAAGAAGTGTCACTCCAAGTGCTAGGGTCACCTTTGCGAGAGCTCTGTTTCTCTTTTAGACTGGCCCAGGGTGGCCTTGAACTAACAGAGATCCATCTGCCTCTGTCTTCCGAGCACTGGGACTAAAGGTGTGCCCCACCCCTGTCCGGCCTCTATGGCTAACTAGTGTGGCTGCTGGGATTAAAGGTGTGTCACCCCTGTCTGGCCTCTATGGCTAACTAGTGTGGCTAGCTTTGCACTCTCATCTTCAGGCAAACTTTATCTGTTAGATCATAGACCTATTAGTATCACCACAGGCATGTGTGGTAGTTTGAATGTAATTGGCCCCCAAAATCTCATAGGGAGTGGCTGTGTTGGAGTAGGTATGCCTTGTTATAGGAAGTGTGTCACTGTGGGAGTGGGCTTTTAGGTTTCCTATGCTGAGGATACCACCCAGTGTTTTCCTGTTGCCTTCTGATCAAGATGTAAGCAGCATATGTCTGCCCTGCTTCCCGCCATGATGATAAAGGTCTGAACCTCTAGAACTGTAAGCCAGCCACTCCAATTAACTGTTTTCTGTATGAGAGTTGTGGTGGCCATGGTGTCTCTTTATAGCAATAGAAACTCTAAAACAACCTGGCATAGATGGAAAGTCTTAAATGGCCTTCTAAATCAGCTTGGCTTTTGCATATAAAATTATGGGCTCAGACCTGCCCCCCCCACCACTTGCTGTCCCTTATTCTTACCAAAAGATGTCTAGCATGTAAGTGAAGTATAGAAAGTGATATTAAAGAAGTAATTGGGTTAATTTTTGGTTGTCATTAATCTTTATGCCAGTCTGGCACATGTGAGCCGTTTGGTAAGGAATTTTATTTTATACTTAATATTCTGATCTTTTGTCTATAGAGATCTTCAGAGCCTCCTGAGCCTTACCTCCTGATTGGGCACAGAATGGACGTGTTCACAGCTTCTGCCAAGCAAGGACCTTTTAAGACAATCTAGTCATTTAAGACAATCTAGTCAGGAGCCTCCCACTCTGGACCCTGGTGCCATGCTGTCCTAGAAGACCTTCAAGTAGCTCAACAGCTTCGAACAAAGAGTGGCAGATGTTCAGCTCATCGGGAGCAGCACCCCACCAAGATCCTAGTGATAACAGAGCGATACAAGGGTGAGAAGCAACTGCCCGTCCTGGACAAAACCAAGTTCCTTGTACCCAATCATGTGAACATGTGTGAGCTCATCAAGATAATTAAAAGGCGCTTACAGCTTAACGCCAATCAAGCTTTCTTCCTCCCGGTGAACCGGCACAGCATGGTGAGTGCGTCCATGCCCATCTCTAAAGTGAATGAGAGCAAGTAGGATGAAGATGGCTTTCTGTACATGGTGTATGCCTCCCAGGAGACATTCGAAATAGCAGTGGCGGTGTAAGACCAGAACAATGCCTAATGTTTGTTAAGCCCTTATCAAGGAAAAAACGGATGTTACCAGCAGATGCTGGTCAGCTTACTATTCATAGATCAGAACATAGGTGCCCACCTAGGGTGTTAGGACCTGTTTGTCAGCAAGAAACTGAGCTCCATGCAAGCGTATTCAACTTGGAAACTCATCTAAACTAGGCTCTTTTGTGTTCAAACTTTAGAGGTTTAAAACTAAAATACTTTGCATTAAAAAAAGGACAGTCTAACAGTCTAGTCATTACCCTTCCCAAGAGCACACAGTCCAACTTAGAGGAAACTGTAACTACAAGAATATTATTTATTTTGTGCTAGGAAACAATGAGAAGGGGGAGCATCTTTGTAGAGATACTCCTGGATGTACATACCATGGCACTGCCAGCCCAGGGCTGGGATAGCCAGTATCCAATTAGCAATTCATTCTTCATACATTCATAGATCCAGTGGCTAAGAATAAGGCTAGAAACATCTGTTTGGGAGTCACTAATAGCTAAGGGATCCTACACACTTTTCTGAACTCCTCTGGCACCAGGCATACATATGGTGCATATACAT